AATATAAATGGAGATGATGCGAGGACTTCAAGTACAAAACCGCACACAATAAACTCATAGACCAAGCTCCAAAAACCAAAAATGAACTAAAAAAACCTACAATCAAGTCGAAAAATTATGAGATCAATTATATAACTTGAAGACATGGGATTAGATTTAGACTTCTAGTCGACAACATGCAGCTGTAAATTCTTTTAAAGTGAAAAGCATTTGCATCCTGCTAAACGAGGAACAAAACTTGTACGGAACAAATAAAATAACATACCTCCTTATCAAACAAAAACTCCTCTTCATCAATCCCACCAGCGAGTGCATCATCCTCCTCGTCCTCTAATCCCCCTAATTCAACCTCCTCCATAACATCCTTCCCAAAAAATGCATACTGCGATGCATCAAATCGAGCATCTTCTACAGCATTGAAAATTAAATCACTATATGATTTCATCTTCGTTTTACAAAAATACGATATCAGAACATGTCACAAATCTAATAATAAAGAAAGAAAGAACAAGCAAGAAGCAGAACAAATAAAATAACCAATAAAACGTCTGAAACATATGATTCATTAAGAGTTTCCTTTAGGAATAAAATAAACCACCCCTACAGTTCTCTCTCCATTCTTCCAGTGAGGTATCGGGGATTAAACAGAAAAATAAAACAACTAGTACTAAATGCAGCTAGTGCTAGAACACATCTAACCTTGTCTAGAAATACAAGCCGAGCCGTCTTCTCCAATGATTGGCTAAACGAAATTTACATCATAAAATAACAACAAATACTCCTTACAACCAAGAAAGATTTCTTCAAAGAAAAAAAACAATGACATGAAATTCCTAGGTAGAAAACTGAGAGCCATCGTAGACCACTGCCATCTTCAATAGCGAAACAATTACCGACTTAATTCTTGAAACTCAGCCATATTCCAGCCAAATAAAGAAAAGAATAAAATCCTCACATCCTTTAAAAGATTCCAGAGCAACTATTAGGTAATTATTATACACAACACAACCACTACCGCCATCCGAGCTCGAAATTCCTAATTACCGACTTCATCTAAATAACTAGAGAGAAGTTCAAATAAAATGGATCTGAAGTAAGAATGTTTCAAGATTAATGTACACAATATAGCAGCAAAGAGCTCAAGAAATTCACAAGGCAGATAATAAAGCAGAAATCGTACCCGCGGAATTGTCTCCAAAACGCTTGAGATCCTCGGATGTAGACGCGACTTGAAGAACTCTAGCTCCGTTATCGTAACCATCCATATCTACACAACTCAATTAGCCGCGACGTTGAGCAAGAACATCAAACCGAAACTATAACCTTAATAAACAAATCAACTACGCCGAAATAGGATCCGAACCTGGACCGACGATCGCAACAAAACCAACCAAAAAAAAAAACCCTAACAGGTCAAAATCCTAGGGTTTGCGCGAGAATGGAAGACGAAAATGGCGTGAGAAACGTTATGTACAGTTGGTGGTAGAGTAGAAGCAGTGTGTAATCCTCATGGATTGAGCCTTGTTTCGCTGTGTCAGTCGGCCTTTTAAGGGTTGAAAATGGATCGGAGAGAGAAACCGAAATTGGGAACCCTAAAAAGATAACGATTAGTGGGGATTTTAATAGGACGCTCGAAACTAAAATATGTCCTCCTCTTTATTTCTTCTTTTTCTTTATTTTCCTTTATTTTTTTCTTTTCTGGATTTGCTTATTTATTCGTTTCTTTTTTTCTTTTTTCACAAATCATAACAGTGGTGTCAGTGGTTCGCCTTCGCCCTGGAAATTCCTTTTTTTAAACCATTTGTTATTCTATTTATATTTACTTAACTGTAATTTGCAAATATCTAATAAAACTCTAGCCGTTTTTTTGTAACAATCAAAATTTTACTTGCCAATTATGTATTCTTTAATATGTTAGTTTTATTTTAACCACAACTGTTTTTTCAGTCCGATGTGTGATGATGATTCGCAATTTTGACATTTAGGAGGTATGTCTTGATTAATTAGTTGGTTGAGCTATACTTATTCATGGGGCAATATGGTGACAGAGAAATATGCTCCCAATTGATCGAAGATGGGGAGAATTTAATCATTTTCCCATTCATTTTTTTTTATTATGTCTCAATTAAATAATTATTTTAAAAATAAATTTTCAATAGTAAAACCTTATTTACGTGGTTTAATCCTCCTCTATACATGTATTAAGTGAGTAGATAATAGATAAGAATATCATCTTTGTAGTATATATACAAAGATGTTAACGAGATTTTTTGTATATATATATATTTATATTTTTTTTTGGTAGGTCAGAGAAATATCTAGCCCGATACCCTGTTTGGATGACAAAAAAGTTTCCCCAATTGAAACCCAAATGGGGATTTTCTGTCCCATTGTAGTGAGCTCCACAAGTCCGTCTTTACCTAAAGAATTCAGGTTCCTAATTGTGTTAAGGATGAATATGGTATTTCAATCGAAAGAAAAATAAGAGGGATGATAATATTTTTAAACTTATTTCTTTTGTATAATTTCACCCCATTATTTCCTTAAATTTTTGTTCTTTTATAATTTTTCCTAATGAAAATTTTCTTGTGTCTAGTGTGGTTTTGACGTGTTCTCACATTCCAAATTTATGTAATAATTAAATTATTACAAATTTTAAACTATATAAATATAAATATAAATTATATCACTACATAATATAGTTTAGAGACTAAATACTCACAACATTTAATAGGGACGATTAACGGTGTATTTGGATTAATTTCTTAAGTGAATTTTGAGTGTCATAATAATTTTTATTATAACAAACATTTGAATAATCAAATTAGTTAAATTTTTTTATTATAAACTTTAAAATCTAGTATTAAAAAATATGTTTATGAAGTAATTGATTGTGAATCTCTTTATGCTCATTTTGGTAATTTAGCATTTGTAGAATCGTTTTTAAATATAGTGCAACAAAATAACTAGTAATTAAAATAAATTTTTAAGGAAAATGTAACACATATACAAGTATTTTAATTAAAACAACTTTTTTTATAAAACAAAAAAAAAACTTAAAAGAAATATATACCCATTTATCTAAAGATTATTTCAATCATAAGATATGTCAAGCTCACTTTAAATCGTTGCCTATTAAATTAGCACTAACAAATTACTGAGATCGAATCTACTTTTTAACATTAAAAGGTCAATCATATCACCAACAATAATTTGTCTTTTTATTTATTTCATTGCTCTTATTAAAATTAAAATAATATCTATGTTTATAACCACAAATTGTTATTTAACTTTCAATCCATATTTATAAAAAAAAAATTAATTTAAAATATCGGTGTGTTTGTCTTTTAAATTGGGAGAAATAAATTGTTCACGTAATTTGAAATCGTTGTAAAATAATAATGTATTTCAAAATTTACACCATTGATAAATATTTCATGTCTTGCTTCAGTAGTTGTTTTTAAACTTTAATCCGTGATAAAATATACATTTTTATTTGATTTATTTTTATTTTTTGTAATTATTTGTAGGACGTGGTGTTCAACAACAATTTTTATTATTTAAAAAAATAACAACGACATTTTTAATTTAGCATAATTTATTTTAATTTTATAATATGAATTATGTTATAGTTTGAGTAAAAGTAGTTCAATGCAAAAATCATGCTTTTTGGTAAATTTGATATTTTTTTTAAGATAAGATGGGTAAATTTGAAGTTTGATAATAAATATATATATATAGAAAAAAATATATATTCATTTATATCACACCATCTACAAGGCTTATGTTGGCAATATAATGTTATTTTCAGTATTATTTTTATAGTTTATTTGCCTTCATAATAATTGTAAATAGTGTGCTACCTTTTACTTCATACCTTGCTT